AAACCTTTAGATCCGCTGCGCATAGGTTTACGTTTGCTATTGAATTCGTGATTTGTACATAACGAGATCCTCACAGATCCCAACAGTTGCGGCTTTGGCCGTGATTTAGGTCGGCCATCATGGAGGTGTCGGCGTTTACTGAATTCTGGCTTGACTTTCTCATTTATTTTTTATTGTTATCATTATTATGTCTCTGAAAACGCCGACACCTCCATAACTGGGAAAGAGGATCAAGAATTTTCTTTGGGTTCTATTTGTTTCATAATTCGAATTCAAATAGAAATTTTAGATTATCATTTACTGAGAATCCATGGCAAAGGGGAACAAAAGGCTGAGGATTCTTATGGTATTTTCTTTCGACATGTTCATATGATTATTTTCGGATTTATTTTTCTCTACCTCAAAAATAGGATCAGAAGTGCTGAAAGATTAAAATAAGAACACGAAGTTCATACCGAGTTTCGGAGGAATATTTTCCGGTGAAAATGTAGCCGTTTTTTGGCAAAAGTTGACTCCGAGCAAATTACGGAGCCCTCCTTCTAGCGCCAAACTATTGATGTCGAAAATCGGACGATCAACCGTCAAATATAATTCGAATCTATATATTAGAATGAAGAACAAAAAAAATGGAAAAATGGTATTTCTTTATTATGTTTTGGGAAGAAGGTGAAGAATGGAGAGAGCCATCCAACCTCCCCTACTCTCTCTCTTTCTCTTGTATTGTGGGGAAGAATCAAAAAAAATGAGGAGAGGTCCCCTCCTCTCTCTTCTCTTTTGATATATATACCTCCTCTATTTTGCAAGTGGCTAATAGAATAAATAAAAAACGGTATATTATTATTTAATATGGGATAATCATCGTGGGCCCGCTTATGACTTATGACGGCTTCGATTGACGTCGATCTGAGGCGGTTTCTGATTTAATCGGTATCGAGAACCTGTTTGTATACTGATTTATTTCGTATTGTCGGCTCATTGATTATCTCGCCGTATTTTATTATTTTACTTATCAGATATTTAATTGAGTCAAATTAGGTATCAACAGTAAGTATGAGTTGTAATGGATTATTTGATTTTGAAAAATAATTATTAACAATATTGTTATTATACTTCACATCAAAAATTTAAGTCAATCCGAATGACTAATAGGAAACACATGTGACAAAGACCTAACACATGAAACATAGTGATAGAATTTATAATGATGCAATATCGTGAAAATTCTCAAAGCGTACAAAATTGTAAAATGGTAATTGTAAGTAATAGTTCAATTATTTTTTTTCTAAAAAAAAATATGTTATTTAAGAGTTTGTAATGTGTGCTCATATATGATGTGTAGTTGTATATATAGAGCGCTGTTGAAAACAATCGTTAACTAGTCGTTGTAATTTTTTATATTTTTTGATATATTATTATTATTATTATTATTATTATTATCGTTTAGCCCGAAGCCGCTAGGGTTAGAGCTAGGTCCGTTTATTGGTAGCCCCCGTTTAAATTCGGGCTTTTAAAGTCCGGACCGTTTAGCCCGAAACCGCTAGGGCTAGCCGGTTTAACATCTCTAGGTTCAAACCAGTGTAGACATGGCTAGTCAATGGGTCGGGTCGGTTCCACTTCGGAACTGGCGGTTCTTATTCAAGATTTTGGCTCAACCGGAACCAATCCAGGCTCGTCGATCCATTTTTTTGTATATAACAATTGGATGGGGAATAAAAAAATTAGACTTAGATTTAGTTGATATATTATAAGTTAAATTATCGATTAAGTAGGAATATTTCAGTTAAAAAATGATATTTTTTCTAATAATATGTCAATTAAGTTGTCTATGTATTTCTTACCTTGGGAATCAAAGTACTCGTAGTTCGTTTATCTTACTTACACTGATGAAGGAAGATGACATGTGTTGAACGATAATAATTGTAGGTGCAGTCGTCGTCGTTGTCTTTGGTTCCTCCAGTTCTAGTATTAGTACTATAATCATCCACCTCTTCGTCATTCTTTTCAGTTAGTATGATCGTTTGTGTTCTTCTTTCGACCTTTTTTCAATCACTCAGCAACATTTGAGCCTTTAAATTTTGTGGCGCTAACCTCGACCGTCGTACATCCAAAGTATATATATATTCCCCCACTAAATGCTTGTTCAACTGTCACATTTTAGGCCAAGATAACCAAAATCTCCTTGGCAATCAAGTATGGAACTGGATCAGTGGTCTTTAATTTTCACCATCAATCCAAGACATCGAATGTGAGTGGGGAAATCAGTAGGCTGGCCACTGTAAATCTGAGATCCATGGTCAAAAAGTGATCGAGTTCATCATATTCAGTCCCCTTACTTCTTGAAATCCTAGCATTAATTTTGTAGGGATCAAATGATCATCAATTTTTTTGCCCAAATTTGCCGATTGTTGAGGATAATGGGAATAGAAGAAGTAGAAGAAGAAAAAAGTAATGTTGAATTTTACCGAGGCTGATTGTTGTTTCCTTAGACAAGTCAAACAATAAACATTATTCTTCCTCGACGAGCAACCATGAGTTAGGTCGTTCAATGACATGTACAACATCAATGGAAAGTACGAGTTGATACATAAGTTCATAATAAGTGTGGAGTTGGTTGAGGAAACCACTTTCACGTATAGATAGATCTAACAAAGTAACAATTAAAAATACATTTAACCATTTTCACAACATATCTTTGATCAAGATGTGTATAAAGATCACAAATATCACTAAATCCCCACATTAAGGCTACATATTGAAAATGATAAGTTCAGTAATATGATAGTAAACACCAGAAAGTACGTCAATAGCAAATTTAAATGTTCCCAATTCTCTATATTAAAGGTGATATTATAGTCACAACGCTAAAAAAGAGTCTGTAATTGATGGGTAAACTCACACATATTTGTTTACACTTTGTAAGTTGAGTTCCACCTGACAGAAACATCCGATTAGAATTTATGGGTACAACATTAGCATTTTGAGGATGACGGGAAAAAAATATAACCACCTCCCTAATGGACGCGGCCGAATCTTTCAAAGCATTATAACTAAATTGAACACAAGTATTAGAAGCAAAACTATCATCTACCGAATGACAATTAATTCTCATATAATGATTGTCTTGCCTATGATCATAACAAATATCACAACAAATAGAACTCTTTGATAATTAATTAAAATTATGTGAGTGGATTAATAGTGAATTAAAGTTGATATGGTGTATAAGAATAATTGATTGATATTATTTAATTGTATTGATAATATTGACGACAGTAGGATTGAGTTAAAAAAAGTACTTGAGTTAAAAATTTTGAATTTTTTGAGATAGTTGAGCCGCATCAAAATTTTTTCTTTTTTCTTTTTGGCTATTGCCGAAAAAAGAAACCGAAATAAAAAACGGTCAGTGACCCGTTTAATATAATAATATCTAGCAACAACCCCCACCCCACTCTTTCATTTCTATTTACTTCCAGATTTTAAGGTTTGAATTTTCCTGTTTTTCATTTTTCTACTTTTTTTTTTCATTTTTTAAAGTGGGGATTTTTTTTTTTCCATTAACGGTCCTTCTTTTTCATCATTTTCAATGTCGTATAAATATTCGCAGTAGACGAGCTCTCCTACGTATATATAATTATGCATACATACATACACCTTGACTTGCGTGTATATATATATATATACATATATGCTTAATTGCTTATATACTCTGCAACGGCTAATCCATAAGTCTGCAGGTATGTTTTTTGTTTTCGAATTTTACGCCATCAGTTTGGGGTGTCTGCGTTTTGATTTTTTGTTTATTTTTAGTTGCTGAATCGAAGGAAGAAAAAGACCCAGAAAAGCAAATGAACTACAACAATGGCAAGTGAGTTTCTACTCAAATCTAATAGAATTTTGATGGTTTTTTATTTTTTAATTTTGTTGCAATTTTTTGCTGAATTTATTTATTTGTTCTGTCTAGGAGAGTAGTTGAAATGCAGTCCCATTTTGTGATTAAATTTTGTTGGGAGGTTATAGAGATTGGGATTGTTTGTTTTTGTTTTGGTTAAGCTCGATTTCAATGGGGGGTTGGGGGTTGTTATGATCATCGAAATCTGGTATAATGTGCAGTTTAATGGTCTTTTGTTTGTCATTTTTGTCTGGGTTTCTGTATGTTTAATAATCATTATGAACCAATCATTTTATTTGAGTCTCTGCAGAAGTGAAACATTATGGGTTATGTTTGGAGCTATATATACATATTCCTATTGACGATTTTGATCAATTGTTAAACCTTTGCGTTGGACCTTCATTCCATATGTGCTATTCTATACATCTGAGTAGAAGTGTTTACTAATTGATCTGTTATATATAGTACATTGTGTCAAATTATGCAAAGAGCTTGTTCAGGATGTTCTTGATTTATTTGTGCTCTATGCACTTGAACTTCAGCATGATGTATTGATGTTGTTGTAATAATTCCTTATATTTTTATAATAGTGACGTGTGGGATTGGGAAAATCAGGATTATTCCATTGAAGATAACACCACGATTGGTAAGTCTAGTGCCCGTCTATCTGTCCGTGATTTGGTTTAGAATGAGGGATTCAAGTTTGATGCATTTATAATACGGTGAGCAGGAATATCTAATTCCCTGTTGAATGGAGTGAGTGAAAATGAAGAAGGTATATCGTATACATTCAATGATGAAACTACTCCAGTTAAGGCTTGTGGAGACTTAGCTTACCATGTTACCAACAATGGTAGGAAATATCTAACGTTTGCTTAATTACACCATCCACGCCCCTTTTTTTACTGCATTTTAATTTCTTTTGCTCTCTTTCGCTTGTGTGGCTATACTTTATTAGCGTTGTATCTTGAAAATAACTTTGATGGCCTTAGCACGGAGGCACAAATGTGTGTGTGTGTGTGTTACTTGCAGTGTTCATCAGGAAAATGTTTCTTAATTTCTTGAAAAAGCAGTTGAGATTCTTTTGATTGTGTGGGCATTTTTGAAATTATTTGTGTGTTAATGCATTGGTCTGTACACTCATGATATGTTTGATGATCCTCGTTTTTCATATGCTTAGCACTTATTTCTTGAATACATGACCTTGCATCATGAAAATATTTCTTAATTTCTAGAAAAAGCAGTTGAGATTCTTTTGATTGTGTGGGCATTTGTTTTAATTATTTTTGTCTTAATGCATCGCTCTATGCACTTATAATAAATGCCTTGCATAAAAAGTTGAAATTCCAGGGAAGCTGCGAATGATTACCTCTAAACAAAGCGCAGCTCGTTTGAGTTTTTGCTTTTTATTGGTTCGATGGGTTGTTTAATTTTGTTTTAAACAAAAAAACTGTAGAAGTTACTGGCAAAGAGTTAGAGCAATGCAAGGAGCCTTCATCTCAATTTAAAAGGCGCCGTATGCTGCAGTTTGATTCTGAAGTTCTTGATGCTCCTTGCAGTGACGATACATTTTTAAGATCTAAGGTTTGATTTTTAACTCAATCCTCGTCAGTCGGAAATTGTTATGTCTTTAGTCTAAGTCTAATCACATATACTGACTGCAACAATATGGCTCAGATAACCTTATGTTTGTTTTAGTATTGTACTGTCCTAATGCCTTGTAATTTACTAATAATCATTCATCTGATATGCATATCTATTCTTAGAAGCTTGTGTTAATATTCAAGTATGATTCAAAATTCTACTTCCTTAGTCATATATGTTACTTGTGTTCTTTCTGATAGTAAATTGAAGAGATTTGCAATTTTCTTTATGTTTTATAGTGAAACAAACTATACTTAGTGATTGGTGAACGAGATAGGGTGTGTGTTCTTCTATCACTACATAAAAGATATCATCAGCTTCTGGCATGAAAAAAAAAGTGTTCTCGAGGTACTATGGATATTTTGTTCTACTTTTGGTTTGAGTTTTATACAAATAAATGCACTTATAAACTTATTCAGCGATCTCTGTTTGGAGAATTTAACTTTTAGCTTCTATTTGCAAACTTCATTGACTTCTAATTCGCACTTATCCTTCACTTTATGCTTAACCACTAAATGTGTTTCCATTCATATGTTTAGGAGACACGGGAATCTCTTGCCGATGCTCTATCTGAAGTATCCGAGTGGGTTGCTGGATTCACAGGTTTGCTGTCCTGTAGGATTTTGTTTCAAAATTAAAATGGAAATTAATTTGACTTATGGACCAATATTGTGATGAAAATTGAATTGTATGCAGAAGGCACGTCTGCATCTAATGATGAATATCTGGACCCTTCATCTGAAGGGTGGATTGCTGATTGCTTTAATGATGCTGAGATGCAATTTAGCACTGAGGAAATGTATATTTTAATTAATTTATTTATTTGTAATTTTTTTAATAATTTTTTTGGAGGTTTGGATTTTAGTATTTGTGACCAACACTTTGTCTGAATGCTATATTAGTGCTTCTGGGGTGTCTGAGGATGTTCAAATTGACATTACAGGTAACTAACTACACAATGTTTCCGTTTTTCGACTCTTGCATGACATCGTTTTTCTATAGCAAGATTTTCTCTTCTCTATTGCCTGGTCTAATTTCTTGTGCTTTTTTCCTGTTCTTGCAGAGCTTTGCAACTCACCTCCTCCTCAATTTGATGCTGTTGAAGTGAAGAGAAATCCCGTCCGTACTCATCAAAATGTTGTTTTCAAAGGTAATTGTTTGTTAATCTTGTTTCTTCTTTTTTTCCGAAAACCATTTTAATCACTCGAGTAATATGAACGTGTTTGAACTGGTACTGACTCATGAAGGCTAATCACAGGCCGAGTAAGGGGTGATTTAGTAAAAGTACTCTTAAAGTTACCGTTTTATTAATATCAACTCATAAATTCAAGCATGAAAGACCCCAACAATTGTTTAAACCAAAAACTAAGCATAGTTTCATAATTATCCTCACTTTACAAACCGTGCTTGGACTTGGAAATACTTACTATATATATTTTTGTGTTCTTACATATAATCAGGTAAAAAATCGTACATACGCACACCTCCAAGACTAGCTTCGTCAGTTGTATACCCATTTGCCTTCATTAAACCGTGTGCCATTCATGGTGACACGACTCTTAAGGACATAAACCAAAGGATACACAATCCGCCTAAATCAAAGTCAAACGAAGACGACACTTCTGTTTCTTATCCAACATCGGCCTTCTCTGGTAAACCTGTGGTTGGGAAAACCAAAATTCGTACTGAAGGCGGAAAAGGAAGCATCACGATTATGAGAACAAAAGGTTAATATTTTTTTGCCTTGAATGGAATGTAGCAGAGGCTAATTTTCCGGCTGAATCCGAGTGTTTATCTTCCCGGATGATTTTTTTTTTCCTGGTTATGAGCTATATGAATTTGGTGTAAGGATCTCGACGTCTAGTTGATCCGTGCTATATAGGTCGTCTCATTAGAGGAAAACTGCTAATTTTATTGTGAAAGGAAAAGCCATGTATCTGTTTGCTGTTTATTGTGATTGGACTGAACCTTAAAAGGTTGTATTTTTGCACCTGTGGAGCTGATCTTGAATTGAAGTCATCTCTGTTTCAAACTTACATTTGAGGAGTTTTCTGTTAAGAACTTTTTTGAGAAGGATGGACTGTAAGCTCTCATATGATCATGTGTATATTTCATTAACTTGTACGTAGTGATGCACGGGACAATAATGATGCATCGTATAAATTAAAATAGTGAAGAAATCTTAATTAATATAAAATTAGTTTCAAATGTTTTTATTCTTTATTTTATTTTCTCCGTTATGAAATAGTTGTTATTTTAAAATTCTTATTTAGAATTAATGAACATGAAAATTTAATATATTCAAACATTGTCAATAAATAATACTTGCCAAAATATATGTCCCTCTCCCCCTTTACTCATACATTATTACAATATCTTATTATGATTCCCAAATGAGTGATGGTAAAATTAGAAAGTTGTGGAGAATATTATAAATTGATAATTAATTTAAAATAATGTAGTGTATATAATTTTAAAATTATAAAATTTACTATTTTTTAATTATGCTAAAATTAGTTTAATATTATTTATAATTATAATAAAGTATATTATAAATATTTTGAATTTTCTTTCTAATCTAATAATTTATATACCAGTTCAACACTGATTGACTTATCATTATAATTTATCATAATATACCTTATAAATTTTTTAATTTTTTTAAGTCGATGTAAACTCATCTCACACGTCATCGTTGTTTAGTAGGCCTAATCAAGATCGACATATTCTGGGTTCAATATTAAGCTAACAATTTACAACGTTACTATATAGATGACTTGTTGGTTTATCACTATAATTTATAACAATGTATATTATAAATATTTTGATTTTTATCTACAAGTTAATAAGTTATATGGATAGTTCGGCACATGATCCGTTGATTTGTCATCATAATATATATAAAATAAATATTTTCAGTTTTATTTCTAAGCTTATAATTTACACAGTAGCTCGACAGATGAGTCATTTGTTTATCATAATTTGTAACAATACATATTATAAATATTTTGGTTATTGTAATCTAATAATTTATATGACAGTTAAACAAGTGAATCGTTGGTTTGTCATTTTAATATCGTATATACTTGATTCTCGAAATAATTGTTTCTTAATATTTTTATATTTTTAGCATTATTGTGTTTGGATGTATGAAGAGTTCTTTGTAATTCTTTTCACAAAGTTCACTCTTTGTCTTGTGACATTTGTGTTCGTTTTATTCCTATATTTCGAAACAATAGTAATATTTGTCGAAAGCTTATCGTTTGTGCAACCAATTTTAAAATTTTATAATTTCATGTTAATCACATAACGGTTTCGTAAGAATTCGTTAACCTTTTAACGTATGTGTAACCAAAATTGGAAAAAATGACTAGTTTTAATATTTGAAATCAAATTTGCAATACGACTAATAATGTGCGACTAAACTTATAATTTCCGGCAGACATAATTTTCATTAATTTGAGGTCTTGATTTTTTAAAGAACCATTAAATAAATATGAAATGAAATGAACCTAGGATGGCAAAAAGACCCGGACTTGGATTGATTCGATCTGGCCCAAAGCATTTGGGGCAGGTCAAACCTACCCTGTTTTCAAGCGGGTCTGGTCAGATCTGATCGTTAGGTAAACGGGTCAGGTCTAGGTCTTAAACCTCACCATGTTTTGCCTCATCCCAACCTGGTTTTATGATAATATTTATAATTATATATACACAATAATATAAATCCTCCTATACATAATTTCTGAATGTACTGAGACTAAGTGACAGACTTGCACGCATCATGATCTTATGTGTCAAATTTTTAAGCTTTGTTGTTTGGCTTGGATGAATTTTAGTTTATTTTCAATTCAAAAATAACTGTGCTAAGAATATCCATTAATATACTGGATATTTATAGTCATTTTAAATAGCATTAATTATATTTTAATATCATTTTCAATTGTAGACATGGTTTTATAAGGTATAATTTTTTCTCAATCTTTCGTCTTTCTTCATCTTTATTTTAAAATTATAACAATTTTACTAACTTAAATTATAAATGTATTTAAAATTTAACAATTTTTTTATTAATAATTTTTTATATAATATTTTAAATTAATCGTGTATTGATGAGATTCTTCTTGGCATTTATATTATGCATACATAATAAATAAATAATTAAAATTGAATTATCTATTAATAAAAGTAACTTAACTACAAAGTATTTATCTGATATAAATTAGAAAAAGTTATAATATAAGATGATAAATCATGTAAGTGACGGTGTCAATTTATATATAATAATAATACATTTTTTTTAAAAAAAATAATATTAAAACAAATTTTATTGTTATTATTATTTAATTTTAAATACAATTTTTTTAACAAGTATAGGTGCAGTACGGGTATTAGTATAATTGATTGAGATTTAGAATAGGATATGGTAACTTTTTCACTTCTCAAGTTCTCATTCACGCTCAGCTCTCGCCTTCACCACAGCGCCTCCACCGCAGCCCGACGAGAAGAGGAATTCCGCCGCCTCCCCCTCAGCCTCCTCACAGTCTTCTTCTAAGTTCTCACAACGCGGGACGCAACACACAGGCTACGCACCACGACCTGCTCCTCAGCTCTCGCCTCCAGAGTTTTGCCCAGGGCCTTATAAACTGAGAATGACAAAGGTCTATGGCTCTCAACCACTCCCCCATATAGTCTTACTGTTAGACTGCCCTTTTTTATGTCATCTGCTCTTTTCTCACAATGCTTATCCTGATGACCCACTATACCGCAGTAGTAACATAAACCCACTAGGCGTTCATATTTAGGTTTTCTTAATTT